AGAGCAGGGAGCGGATAACTCACGGGACCTGACCTTTCTCAAAACCGACAGTCACGACAACACTTGTGACCGCAATTGCAGCGGGTCCGGCCACGTCCAACTGCCGAGTCGCATTCATGGCATGTCCAACCGCACTTTTTAAATGCCTTCGCGCGGCAGCTGCTATTGCCGCAATGGCCATGGTCATAGAAGATGGCATTCGAATAGTTGCGGCCGGTGCACCGCTGTAGTCGACCGTCCACGCCATAAACACCAGCGTTAAAGGCAAATTGGCATTGATCCGGGAAAGGGGGTACCCAATATGAATGGCCGGAAGAATGTTCGCACTCGTATCGTCTCTTGATTAGTTGACACATGGTATATTGAATAACAAGTAAGCACTAGAGAAGTCGTGTGCAAGGAATCGAAGCGTCGAAATACTCAAGATTGCCGTCGCTCACTGCTTGCATGTTTCCGTGGTTGGAGTTGAGTTAAAGATCTTCCAAACTACTCAAGTCCGAACACTGATATGCCCTCGTTTTTAACAGAGGCAAGAATGGCCGGCGTGAAACGAAGGGTTATCTCGGGTGCCAATGTCTTCGCTGGCAATTGCTGGCGATGGTATTGTGGGTTGAATAGTAAACGAATAGACACCTAGAGATAAAGTGATACCGATACAAACCATCATTTATCATGGCAAACAATCCACCACGTGGTTCACGGCTACCAATCTCCCTTACCCATATCTATGTGTGTATATGTCACTTGAGTTGCCAAATAATGGGGCACCGTGGCCCTCGAAGGCAATACACCCCGAGCCATAGCCCACAGAGAGAAGAGCTTCATCTGGCTCTAGATCGCTAACGTAATAAAATTTGAAATGGCGATTGTGGCTTGAGGGCGCTGAAGTGCGGTTTATAATCGCTGGTCGTATAGATTGACGCAGTGTCGCCTTTCTGGCGCAACAGTACGCGCGTCCACCAAGGCCAACAGCCATTGGCGTTCCATGTCACTCAATGGGTCGCTAGAGGTTGACGCTGTCCCATCGTTTGACACGATGTAAGCGTCCATTATTCCGATGCCTTTTATCGACGTTTTTACCTCGTCGAGTCGTCAATGACGATAGTTGTAAGGCACAACCCTCACAGCGCCCGTCTGGCTTTGGAAGATTGAGGCGATTCGTGGAAATAAAAGCCGCCACCGGAGACACCGACCAGCTTCGGGTCGTCCTTGACTGGCCGATCCTAAATCCCGGGAAAAGGGACGGGCAATATCGCGCTCTGCCCTCACTGGCTGTCGTGAAGCGAGGGACATACAATACCGATGTTGTGTGGCCTATCACCAACCGATGCATCTAGGGTACAAAGCTAGCCTGCCTATGGCTTTCCGAGCCCCCACGATCTTGTCTTTTATTTGACGCTACGTTTGTCCTCACGTGCAGAAGCAGCTTTTTTCTCTAGATGCTGGCTCGCAGGATCCCATAGGAGACAAGATTATTAAGCTGCCAAGAGGAAACGAAATGTATGCTCGCACTGCTCTGTAGGAAATACAGACCAGGCAGCATAAGCTTGGATGCAGATGATAATCGGAAATCGGAAAAATTGAAGTATACAGACTATGTGATTGGTGCGATGTAGACTGATCGGTGTAAAACCTCTCTTCCATCAAGCCAACGCTCTACGTTTTCTGCAGCCACAGAACCCCCATATTATGTAGTGTGACTAAGACATTAGAACGCCCGTGTATCCCCCAACAATCGGGCCTTCTCCAGGGAATGTCCGAGGTTCAAGCACAAGGGTGGAATGACAAAATGGGAAGACCCCGCCTTCAAGGTGTCGTTCCACCTCACGGATAGCAAGAGAGCCAGGACTTGCTAGATATCCGTGTTGATCAGGATAGGCAGAGCCAGTGAACGTTCGTACCTTGATCCAAGTCTAGCTCCTGAAGAACCACAGAAGCGAAATATCAATGTGGGACGACTGACAATTGTTTGTCTGGTGTTTTGACAGTCATGTATGACGGGCGTAGGTTTCGCAGGGTCAAGTCATGTGGGCGCCAAGATAGCATTGGCCACGAATGAGGTACGATAAATATGTTTAAGCCCGTTCAGCTACTTTTATATATTCTAATATCGGATATCTGGTTTCAATCATGTGTAGAGTGTAGATGCCCATGAATGCAAATATACTTCTCTCTGGCCACGGCGTCGTCGGTAACAAATGATGATGTTAGGTCAACCGGATCCACTGCATGCCCCTATTTCCCGAGCAGGATCCAGAGCCCTGGGTTCGCCTTGGGAGCCGCACTAACCTATCGCTAATGGCAGGGTTTACCTTACCTACTTCGTGGGGTCATCATGGATACATACATCTACTCCCTACTAGAATAGTGCTCCATAAGGTAGGTACCCTAAGTACCTAAGGCCTCTCAATATAGCTTCTCCTAAATGGGGTCTACAAATTCATTCAACAGCAGAGTTGATATTTCTTGAATTCCAAATGAAGTGCTGATCTTTGTGATGATTTCGCAGGACTACCGGGGCTGGCTGGCTGGATGACTGGCTTACCTGGTACTTTCATTACCCTAATGCTGTATCCTACCTAATCCTACCACTATTGTTTTACTCGGTTTTTGGCGTTCTACTCCAACAACTCTTGGAGCGCCACAAGGCTCAAGCAATCAATCGGGCACACTGATTTTCTTGGATGCAGCCATTTCCCCCCTCCGAGCATGTTGTTAAATAGCTTTGATTCGTGCAAAGCTGCGCTGCTTGCGCATGGGTTGCACACCTTGAGGAGGACAACGGCCGCGACATCAAAGATCACGAGCTCATCATGGCCTCAAACCCGCATATTTCCCTCAAGGTTTTACGGAACGGATCGGCAAAAACTTGGGGTCGATCAGTGTATGCCATCGGGAGCCTGGGACTCACACATGCATATTCTTGATCCACGCTTCCCTCTCTCCCTCGACGCTCAATATAAGCCCCGCTGGCACACTCTACAGGATTGGAAACAGTTTTCAAAGTCTGTCGGGATTCCCAACGCTGTCTTCGTTCAGCCATCGATATATGGTAACGACAACAGCTGCCTCCTAGACGCGCTGAAGATTCTGGGTTTGGACCGATCTCGTGGCGTCGTCACCTTCGATCCGTTGACTACCCCGCTGTCTACTTTACAACAATGGGATGTGCTTGGCGTACGTGGGGTGCGAGTCAATCTCGTATCCGTAAGGAAATTTATGGAAAAGGATGAGCTCGCAAATACTTTGCTGACATACGCAGCGGTAATACGCCCACTGAAATGGGTAATCCAACTCTACCTTCCGATGCAGATGGTGCCTTTGCTAGAGTCGATATTGCCAGAACTCGGGGTGGTTGTTTGTATCGACCATATGGGCCACCCGCCACTAGCTGATTTGCCTGAGTATGCGGCGACTAGGGACCCGTTCGCCATCCCAGGGTTTGATGCAATGATACGTCTTCTTAAGGGCGGAGGAACGTATGTGAAAATGTCGGGCGCTTATAGGATGGCTACGGTTTCTGATGGCATAACGGATGTTATCCCAATCGCGCGAGAGTTTCTGAGAACGGCACGCCAAAAGGTTGTCTTTGCGACTGACTGGCCACATACCCGGTACAATGGCTTGGACATTCGGCCCTGGATTCAGACTTCATTCGATATGTGTGATGGGGATGAAGCTCTTATCAAGCAAATATTCAAAAGCAACGCAGAAGAATTATGGGGCGTGGAGAAGGACACAATATGAGAGGAAGAAGACGAGCTCTCTCCCTTTATATTAAATCCTGTTTACCCGGCCAACGTCCAGATGCGTAACCTCTGCGTGTGTAAAGAGATGTAGCCAACACTACGATACTATGCTCTGAGCCCAGCGACTTCAATCCTTTTATTTTCTTATCCCTAGCGAGGTAGTTTAGAGATAATGTTACAAACCAACAACATCAACTTAAATTAGCATGTGGATGTGATTAATGATTCCTTTGCAAGCGATGTCGGTTTAATCCAGGCTATTAGGATGAATACAATAACTCAAAACTTCAGATGCGGGTTGGCAACTCGACAAACAAGCGCCATTTCTTCCTACAAGTCGCCATAAAAACTACACAACGCGGTCATGAGGAGGGTAAGAAATAGAGGAATGGGTCTACAAATATTCTGGCTCGCAGCCAATAAGCGAATGTGCTCTAACCTAAGCACCACAGCTATGACTATTATCTAATAAGCTTGCTCGGCTACTACATGACTCCAACAACAAGGCAGAACAAAAAAAAGGAATATTGAACACTCGGTACAAAAGCGCTTGCTGACTAATTGCGGCGGTGTTACAGCCCTCAACGCCCCAACTCCGCCAGAGCACCGTATCAAGGAAACCGGATCCTTAGAACGGTCAAAAACTCGGGACCTCCACTCGTCGTCTTTACTTAAGTAGCCCACTTCTGCGTACATTGCAAAGTTCCTGATGTTGAATACTATACAAGGGCACAAGGCAACTCGCCATGTATATAAGCAGGCCTTCCCACCTCTCTCACACATTCCTAGGTCCGGCTCAACCTACGCAGTTAGGGTTAGGTAAAAGCCACTTCGTCAAGTATTCTTGGCACGCAAAACGTATTCCGTCCGTTTTCACCCTTAGGTGGGTACTTGCACGGAAAAAAACCCTGATATTGTGAATTCTAAAAAGCCTTGAAATAAAGTTTTGTTCTTGGCTAGGGTGATTGGAGGCTAGGTTAAATTCGCTAACCCCGTAGGGAGATCCTGCATAGCTCGTAGCGTGGTATAGGCGTTGTGACCCGGCAGAGCTTGGAGGCAATGGTTTTTATTCAGGTTACGGCCACCTGGGGGATGGCTTCAAGGCTGTCACTTGTTTCGACTATTCATAGATATCTGGTGTTCAACAAGCACTCGTCTGCTAAAGGGGTGCTGCTTAATACATAATTGGCTCAGAACCTAGAAAAGGAGGACCATATATAATATACACTCTTATTAACTTAGGCCTAATAACTCAAAGTGGTGTAATGGCAGCACGCCTGATGACATGCAGTACGAAAGTATTGCACCCTTCGGGGGGAGGAGAACCGGGTTCGATTCCTGGCTTTGAGATTCTTTTTCTTTTTTCAAGTGTTTCGTGCCACCTATGTATGCCTCAGCTAACTATATACAGGACCATCTCACCACACCAACTAAGTAAGCCACTGCATGCAATTAGATGTGCTACAATTACACAATTCAGTGTGGTTGTTAATATGAGGGCGTTGGTCAATGAATAGATATGATCTGGTAGGACCTACCCCCTTTCCTGGATAACGAGTGAGTACCTGCTGCAAAAGATTTCTTTACGTGCTTGCGTAGAGAGGAGGTACAATTGGGCCGGGCTGTACCACAGCGATTGACAAAGGTTGTGAGTTTGCTAACACTAAACCAACTAAGTCCTCAGTCAGTATTGACACATCTTCCTAGCCGTGGTCAAAAATCCTTGATGTGCAGCACTTAGCGGTCCTAAGATCCCTAAACGTAGAAACTCGTCTTGCCCCTGAATAAAGCTCTCTACAACACTTGTTGACCAGGTGGGAGAATGGGCATACTGACTAGCTATTTATACGTATATCAACGGGTGCTTTTAGCCACCAAAAACCGTATGAATATTAAATCTCTGGCATAAAGGGGGCAAACAAAGCATTGACGATTTGTCAGAGGTGGATGTCCTAGAGTGAAGGTAGGTCACAGGTAGGTAGAAGTGTATGGGTAAGGGCTCAATATCATTGATTCCTGATCTCCCTTCTCCCTGTATTTTTTGGGGGGGGGGGGTCATTCCTTTATATAGACATATCTTATAGTACAGGTCCACAAGGATAGCTTCTATCCTCCGGTGACCCTGGTACCTGACAGTGAAACACGAAACATCCCATTGGCAGACCCGATATCTTTGCTAGATTGCAGCTCAACTTGCAGAGTAGCACCGGGACCGAGAGCCTCAGAGGGCGGTCTAAAATTGCGTCACCCGAACAAGATAGCTTTTTGTTGGCTGAAGCAGGGATCTCGCAGGCTATGGGTCGATATCTCTTAATGCCTCCGTAATTCTTCCCTAAGAACGGGGATGAACAAGGCCACTTGCTCCCTGCTGTACCAGGTCTAGCTAGGGAAGTACGATCAACGAAGATCAGGCCAATGCTCCGCAACACACCAGGGGAGGAGTCGGTTGATGACGGCTGTGGGAATTCTCAGACCAATTCTTTCTGAAACAGGGGCAATAAATCTGAATGGGTTGTACAAGCGACTGTCACGGTAGAAGTGTAGTCCCCGTGCGGCGAAGACCAGACGACGATTTGACAAGACCCCCTCTTGAAAAATATAGCCCTTTTTGACCATGGACTCTTCTATTGACCATTGATATTGTAGATCTAGGCTTCGGGGACTGTTCAGTGTCTGCAGAGTTATAGGGAGAAGATTCTCCTCTGAGAAGCCGCAAGTGGTAAAGATCGGAAGAGATCGGAAGAGATCTACGTTCTGACGACTCAGTAAGTTGGAAGGTGGGCTTCTGGGCTATACGTAACCCAAGGCCACCTACTTACTGCACGACCCTCAGTTAAGGAACAACGACAGTGCAAGGGTAGGGACTGTCTTTGTTTGGAATTCTTGAAGACACAGGTAAGCGACAAAAACTAGAGTTGTTGTTCTGTTAGAGCAAACAGTGACGGCCAAGAGTGTCCAGATCTCTCTCGTTGATATTAACATCGTCTATTTTTACAAGGAGGCTCAGGAGCCGACTTGTGAAGACAATCCACCACACGACTTCCTGAGCAGACTTCGCATACACCCCTTGCCGAGCGATCTCTTCGCCACTTTATTGCAGGAATCATACACCAAGTTTCCTCTCTGATTAATTTAATGAACTTTTGTTAAGTCGCTCAAACGGTCAACACCGCGGGATACATTGTGGTACCCTTATTCTGTCAATGAACACAGGGGCACCTTGAGCCCGACTATTGATGGAAACACATGCTATAAATATCTACAGCCCTTTCGATGCCAAATACATTCGATTTCTCGGGCTCAATAAAGACATATTATGCAGTCTCGCGGGGCAGCTAGAATATGTCAAGATCGACCAGGCGCCTTCATATTATGCGCTGAGCTACTGCTGGGGCACCCTGTTCCAGCAAAACATCGTACTGGTCAGGGCTGGTGATGGCATGCTAAGTCTGATTACTGATTTGGTGGTAAGGATATAAAGACTCAAGCAGCTCGCGACCCTCGATGAAGCAAAAAGTTCGCAATTACTAGGTAAAAGAGCCCAGTACCTGTGGATTGACAAGATCTGGGCGATGGGCCCTGCACACATCGTAAATGCGGTCTACTAGTGACCACGCTGGTCACTTGGCGTTCTGTTGACCGATACTTCGACTAAGTTCCGAGTTACAGACCAAAGGGATAAGGTGCATGGACTTCTAGGTCTAGCTTCTGAATGCGTTGGCGCCATGCCGAAACCTTTGCGACCGGGCTACCAGCTGGACGTAGGACAAATATACCAGAAGATTGCTGTATACCTTTTGCAACAGGGTAGATCATTGCCTATACTAACTCGAATGAGTGGGGGATTTGGAAGTTCAATCAGAAAACAGCGTCAATGCGACCTACTTCAACCCAACAATCTCATTGAGTGGCATCAAAGCAGACGAGGTAAGGTTGGCAATACAGTTCCGTGAAGGCCATCGACCCGGTGAGACGTTCCACTATAACTTCTCTTCCTCGCTCGCAATTATTTGGGATGTTGTTATACCCCTGATAGCAGGGATTGGCCCCTTCTTGGAACAGGCAAGTCGCTTCACCCTCAATGCTACAGCAGAACAGCACGGGGCTGGGTGAGCGCGAGGCGCCTCAGATTCTCAGCAACGGCTCAGCATTTCTCACAGAGGTGTGGAGTTGCGATCAGTCGAGGGAAGCGGACCAGTGCACATTTAAGAAGCGATCGCCAGGAGTGTATTCAGATGATCTAAGATCTAAGATCTAGTTTCAACATAAGAGATAGAATACAAGCTATTTATACAGGGGATCCCTCGGAGTAGTATCGATCCGATCTCATGGATCACTTGGATCCACTTCTCCGTGATAGCATGTCTGTTTGATCTACAGTCGAGTGACGGGATTAGATAGGCGAACCTGACGTCTAAATGGGAAGAAGCCTCCGGGAGGAGCAGCAGTCTTGGCACGCCCAGCTGCTGGTGGAGATCCTCAAGTAAGTATACGCGATCTTGGCCGAGAACTATTGCTTCAACAGGTCATTTTTTGTAACTTCGCGAGGATACATGGGTACGGGTCCGGCGGACTGGCAGCTTGGAGATCCGGTCGTGATCCTATACGGCGGAGGAGTGCCTTATGTCATCAGAAGACAAGAGTCGCGCTGGAGTTTCAGCGGTGAATCTTACTGTTAGAATGTGACGTAGGGTGAAGTGATTGAGGTGCGAGACCGAGGGGAGGGCTCTAGAAGAAATCTCTGAGTTCACGTAGCTAGTTTTCCCTTTTCTTCGCTCGTGGCTGTGTTTGTTTTTTAGCCCATGTATACAGAGACAGGTGTTCCAAGTCATAGTGCAACGACATTATCTATGATGTGGCAAGGTCGCATGAAGCCAAAAAAAAAAAAAGAAAAAAAAAAAAGAGAGAGCGTAGCTGTTGAAAGCTCTACCAACTTCTTGGGGATGAGATGACCGTTCAATACAAACTGTATGTGCGGTTAGCGAGACTCTATCAGCGCTTACACTACAAAGGTAGCTTCTTAGAGGTATAGATCCTCGAGTGATTATACCTGACTGTCCTACGGTAAGTGTTAGATGCATAGATCGGCATGATCGGCAAGAATACTAACTCTCAAGAAAACCAAAACCAAACCCAAAATAAATAAATACATACGAGGAGGTTGATTGGTGATTATACTTTAGCTACCTAACAATGAATTATTATGCAGCTTGCCATGGGAACGATACAGGGGACGCAGCATTGGATATGCGAACACCCGTCAAGCGAAACCAAACGAGACATTGCTGAAGCCCCGGGTGTGATGGTTGGACTCGAGGATTGAAAATCTTAGGATGAACCATGCTCCACTTATAGACACCCTTCAATCCTCGGGAAAAACGTGCCGCGAGTTTAAAACCACATCAAGTTGGATATTCCAACTGGGCGAGGCCTGTCATCCAGTGCATACGTACTACATACAACAGTACATAGTAAGTCGGATCCACTGATGCTGAGTAAGTATATATATACATAGCATACAACGTACACTACATAGGTAGTTACTTTAGTATTACATGACACGACTGGGTCTGGCGATGGGTGCCTTTGTTGGCCTGGCCAAGAGGGATTTGAATTATCATTGTCGTTATCTAGTATATAATCCACCTACATGTAGTAGATAGTGTAGGTATACTACCCGCCTGTTTCCACTAACGACCCCATCGTCCCCGCACCCCGCAGCTGACAAGGACCGGGGTCAAGTTCAACCGACTAGCTGGGGACTCGGCAGATGGGGTTTTGTTTTGTTGAGTCCAAGTGCGCTTAGAAAGACATTCCAGTGACAGAACTCGTGATGAAAGTGGCCTGCTATATTTGACTGCGAGAACACGCCAGGAACTGGAATATCGCTTTGTTGTGTTGATGTAGGGAGTGCTTACGGGTTGGGGAAAATCTTCGTCGATCCCGTCACGGCTACTGACTGTATTAATGGGGATCCGTTATTCCGGTTCGCTCAGATAAAGTCCGAATCTTCGGGTTGCAAGATAAAAGCTGCTGACCGATGATTGGTAAAGAAGCAACACGTCCTACCCCGCCCTTCTCGGACCCAGAGCCACTAGATAGATGAATGCGGGGAGCCGTCCGGCAGACCTTATACTATTTTCTCAGACCGCTAAAATAACATGAATATTAGATACCTACTTCCCGAGTCTGCCCCTACGCTAGCATGGAGGCTTCCTTGCGGGACTTTCCACAAGGTAGCGATCTACTCTTGCCATAGTGATAACACAACTTGGAACGCACATATCGACGCCGTTAAATGTCGACAGTATTGGGGCGGACAATAGACCGAGTACCTAGACCGCTCATTG